AGGTAGACATAAGGAATGGTGCAAGAGGAGAGCTTGTCCACGGAGGTATCGCAAACGAGGGCACGAGAACCCCAGACCCGGAATACCGATGCATCGCTAACCTCCCCCGTCAAACGAAGTGTAGGCGAGGTCTCCTGCATAGAGACACGGGGCCAGAGGTTGAGCTGATGCGCGGCGTACCGGACCACAAACGGCCACAGAAAATAAGGAGCAGCCGCATGGATCATGGAGGTACGAGCGACCTTCATGACTAAGCCAATGCGGCGCTCAGCAATCCCGTTTTGTTGTGGGGAGGCTGGAAGCGTGAACGACTGGAGGATGCCCTCCCCCTGACAAAAGGCCCTCAAAAGGTCGGAGGAGAACTCACCACCTCTGTCAGAGTGCAGACGCAGGACAGGAAGGTCCGTGCGGAACTGCTCGCGGAGCTGGAGACGAACAGCGCGGATCCAAGGGATCAAGACAGCAGGGACCTCCCCCTTACTGCGCAAGGGGAAGACCGTGGTGTAACACGAGTAGTCGTCGACAACCAGCAGGAAGTACCGCTCGTGGCCCAGTCCACGGACGCGGGCTGGGCCCCACACGTCCATGTGGAGAGTCTGCAGAGGAGCAGTCGTCGGGGGAAAAGAGGAGGAGTGAGGAGCGGTGCGCTGCCGCCCCTCGACGCAAGGAATGCAGGGCGGGGCAGGCGAGGGTGGGAGGGAAGGCAGAGACCTGGGAAGGCCAGAGACAAGGAGGCGGGAGTGCATGCCACGGAGGCGTGGCAGGGAGGGGTGACCAAGGCGGTGGTGCCAGAGGAGAGTCTGGTGCGACAGGCGGCGACACTCGCAGGAGGCTGCTACCTGACCTGACGCGGACACCTGTGCAGACTCTGCTACCTGAGGCGGCGCAGTAGTCAGTGTGTACAGACTCGACCCAGGCCGACGGGTGAACGTGGCCAGGTGACGGCCAGTCCGAGAGCACGTACAGATCGCCACACGGTGTCAACCAGGGGTGAAGGTGTCAACCCATGCATCCTGAAGGACTGCGTTGCTCACCAAGTTCGTCGAGAACGAGGGGAGGTGGAGACTTGACAGTGAGCCGGACGGAACCGCCGGACACGGGAGCACAGTGGAGGAATGTGCAAGAACGGGGCCCCTAGAGGGGTCCGCAACTGTGGTACTGTCACAGAAGAAACAGCGAGAAGCACCTGAGTCAAGTGTGAAGGTGTGCAAGGCCTCAGCAAGAGCTGTACCAAAGAGAGCAGACTCACTAGCACCTAGGGCAGCAGCCTCTATACCCGGGTGGCGGCACACACAAGTAACAGTCACCCTCAGCACTAACAGTCAAAGCATACATGCCAGCAATGATAGCATCAAAGTCAAGAGCAAAGATATCAAGTCCAGACCTAAGCAACTCTGCCCAGCGGGGTATCTCAATCTCCTCGCCAAACTCAGCACGAAGCGTCGTCTAGGCGGGAGAAACAGCGGTGCTGGGTGTGAAACTTCCCGCACGTCTGACCAGCGCGGTCACCTGTGCGAATGACGTACGGGCAGCGACAACTACTCCCAGACGCCCCACGCTGAAAATGCCACTCACGAAGCTGCTGGGACGTAAGGGTCTCACGCGGACGCTGCTGCTGCTGCCGCTGAACGGCTCCAGTCCGACCACCACTACCGTCGCCGCCTCCACTCCCACCGCCACCACCACCGCCGCCTCCACGCCCACTGCCGCCACGACCACTACCACTACCACCCCCACTGTCGCATCCACCGCCGCCACCGACGCCCCCACTCCCGCCACCTCCGCCACCCCCACCACTCCCACCGCCACCTCCGCCGCCTCCCCCCCCCCTCCGCCGCCACCCCCAACGCTCTTCCCTCCCTTGCCCTTGCCGCTGCGGCGCATCCCACTAGGGGCAGACGCAGGCTTGCGAGGAGTGCCACGAGTAGCACCTACAGCGACAATGTTGGTCTCAGCTGCAAGGAGGTGCTTCTTGAGTAGGTCAATAATGAGGTATGTGGGGCGGAGGGCGAGAAGGGTGTCCCGAACTGCACTAAGGGAGAGAGTCAGGGAGGCGAGTGACAATAAAGTAGAGAGTAATGTAGATCGAGGGCTCGTTCGTGGTGACAAACTCGGTAGGGAGGGCAGCACGGTAGCGAGCGTCCATAGTGCGAAGGTGGGTGATGAGGTCGTCTACAATTGCGAAGGAGGACAGGTCGGGAAAAGGGTAGGGGAGCATGAGGCGGTCGAGAGTTGTAGTGGCAGGGGAAGAGTAGCGGGCGACTACAGCGTCGTACATGTCCTTAGCAGTTTTAGCCTGGTCAAAGTGCTCGTGTTCGCCTATCGGCAGGTGGTTGCGAACGGCTAGGCGAGCAGCAGCGTCACGGGTAAGCCACTGTGAGCGAGTCGCACTGTCAGCTGTGTCGGGAGGGGCAGTACAGGCTCCAGACGTGAGGTTATATAGAGAGACATTGTCCTTAGAGTTGCTCTGTAGGTACAGATGTAGGTCCTGAAGCCAAGTCTCGAACTTGACACGACGGCCCTCAGTATCAAAGTCCAGAATACTGAGAGTGGCCATAGCGAACAGTGTAGTGTAGCGTGCAGGGCAGGGTAGTGCGCGGGCAGAAATGTTAGCGCACGGGCTGCAAGCGGCGGGGCGCGGGCAGGCAAAGGCGGCGCGCGGACTACAAGGGGCAGCGCGTGAGCAGACAGCGGCGGCGCGCGGGCAGATCAGGGCGTGCGCGGGGCGGCGCGACACGTGGGTGGGGCAGGCGCGGGCGACGTGACGCAGGGCAGGGCGTGCGGGCCGCACGACGGGCAGGGCAGGGCAGTCGCGGGCGGCGCGACGTGCAGGGCAGGGCTTGCGGGCCGCGCGACGGGCAGGGCAGGGCTGTCGCGGGCAGCGCGACGTGCAGGGCAGGGCGTGCGGGCCACGCGACGGGCAGGGCAGGGCGTGCAGGCCGCACGACGGGCAGGGCAGGGCAGTCGCGGGCAGCGTGAAGTGCAGGGCAGGGCGTGCGGGCCACGCGACGGGCAGGGCAGGGCAGTGCAGTCACGGGCCGCGCGACGGGCAGAGTAAGGCAGAGCGACATGTGGGGTAGCGATACGGGCAGGGTACTGTCAGATGGGCCCTAACAAGAACAGTCCTGGAGTAGGACTTGCTCTGAAACCATGTCAGAATCCCAGCCACTAGACCACTGGGATAAAAAGACTTGTTCGTGTAGCGGGTCCGTGCGCCCATAACCCGCCAGACGAACGCGCCTGTAACCCCCATAGGATCAATCGGGGATCTCACAGTGCAGATCTACTGACACCCCCCCACACTGGGAGGCCCAGGACTGAGCACAGTGGCAACAGCCTACATGTGCATACACCGGGATTCGAACCCGAGACCGCTCTGATACCATGTCAGAACTAGCAAGAAAGAATGGTGCATTGAAGAGGATCTGGGTACAAGTAGGAAACCCTAATTTGGGTTGTACGCCTTATGGGCTTCCCTACTACAGCCTACACAGCATAAGCATAATTATAGTTTGACAGATCCTGTGGTGACACTTGGCCTATTGTCAAGAAACAACAAGAAGAGGGTCTGTTTCAGGGTTCTTCGAAAAATCCCCTAACGAATCTGGGGAAATGGGCAAGATGCCTGATTTTCTAAAACTATTTTTTTTTAGAAAGGGTCCTTGGACAAACACAATTACAAAATCAGGGTATTCCTAAAAATGCGGCCCATAGAAAGGGCAATCACCCAAAAAATTCACCCTTCACGTTTGAGCCCTAATCGCGTTGGGAAACTCGATATGGTGCACCGCCCGTCTTCCGAGATGGCAGCCGACTTCCTCACCAAGCGACTGCCACGTCAACAGTACCAGCACTACTCCAACCTCACCGGAGTAGTCAAGCGAGCTCCCGACACACCCAGGAATGAAGGGGGGTGTTGAGATATAAACCTTATGAGAAAACATTCATGTACGCTATAGGAGCCAATCTTACCAAATATGAAGACGAGGAGTCAGTATAATCGAAGAGACACTAGCAACCATTAGATCGAGACCGATGCAGGGCGAAAACATTCGAAGTGGAAAAGGCGGGAACAAGTTTAGAACGGGTTCCCGCGCCGCACGGTTTGAATTTCGCTGTAATAAGGGAATGTACCCCTTAGAGTATATGGCTAGCTAAAACGTTTCGTTTTCCCTGTATTTCCTATATAACTCTATGTATGCATTGCTATTATTATCTCAGCCATTTAATTTCACTCTGACCTGAGGTCACTACTTCCGCTGCAGTATTACCTGTGATCAATCCTATGCTGATCCCTGGCTAAGTCATGTTTAGGATTGTAACACAAATGATGTTCTTTAACAATTTTCAATGAATTATTCATGAGAAATTAGTTCATTACTTATCAAATAAATAGTATCATAAACAACTTATTCCGCACACTCTGTTAGTACATTCATACCACTCATTTGTGCTTTCTAGCACATGTGTCGCAAATTGGTTTTGCGAATAAAGGTGTTCTCCTTGTTCATCTGATCGCGTGAAGTCGCAAAACATCTGTACGCTCCGTTTCGTCACGGTGCGATAAGGTAAATATTGATAACCTCTTTTCACCTTGTGAAACCGTCCTGACTCCTGAGTCATGTCATGATACAAGAACGGTAATGTGCGACACGTGTGTGACCTGACCTCGCCATGAAACCCCCAACTCAGCGCCTTCCAAACCTAAATCCTCTCGCGTTGACTTTGGTCGTGGGCTGATAAAATCCATGGCTTTGCTGTCTGTGTTTTTCATTGCTGTGCTCTGCTCTGATGTGTGGTCACCGAAAATTACTAGAACGGACAGATCTTTTCCCGATTCACCCTACTTCACGATACTCACGGGCGACCCCGCTTGGCCTGTATTTGGCTGACCAATGTGCTCCCAGCAATTGCATCAGCACCTCGCGCTCGCGCTGCTGCTCTTCGCGGTCACCATCTCGACGACCGCCGTGACCACAGCGAATGGCGCGACGCTCGTCATGAGCAACGCCGACCGCAACCTGACGGTCGATAATTACACCATCCATGGCAACACCATCGTCGACAATGAAACCAAAGACGTCATCAAACAAACGAAAAACCTCGACGGTTCGCTCACGGTAGAAGGCAAGTACACGTGGTACCCGAACGGCACCATCACCACGCCCGGAGTGACTATCTACGTTGCCGGCGCAGCCAGCTTTGTGCAAAATGCGAATACGAAGCTGTACGGCATGGGAGTTGCGAGGAATGCGGCAACAGACAAAGTGCTGACGTGGGTTGAGAACCCCAACGGCTCGTTCACCGCTGGCGACATCACCGGCTGGGCCAACGGCACGTTCCTCGGCTCCAATGGTGTCGTGCTGCGCACACGCCTCTCGTTCAAGCCATCGATCGGGTCAGGTGGAAGCACCGGCACCAGCGGAAGTTCTGGCGGCAGCGGCGGAAGTTCTGGCAGCGGTGGAAGTTCTGGCAGTGGCGGAAGTTCTGGCAGCGGCGGCGGCCGTGATGGCAGTCTGCCGTTTGGTACGGACTACACGCTGCTTCCCAACAGCACGATCGTGGGTCCCGGCGAGTCGGTGGTAGAGAGTGGCAAGCAATTCCCCGTGAATCCAGATGGCACCATCTCCGTCACCTCTCCCACTCCTGACCCCAGCGGCACCAAGCTGTCGTTCAACCCCGATGGCAGCCCGACTTATGGACCCGGCTACACCATCTTACCTAGCGGTGTACTGACTGACTCCATGGGACTCCTGTCTCTCCCATTCTCAATCCGGATGGGTCATTCACTCTCGGTGGTGACTACACTGTTTATTCCAATGGCACACTCACAGCTCCTGGTGTTTCCGTCGCCCTTGTTGGCATGCCCAGGTACACTATTGGCGGCACGACGATGCTGGCCAATGGCACGGTGCTGGACGCGGCCGGAGTGCCGATTGTGGCGACGGCAAATCCGGATGGGTCGTTCACGGCAAGCGACCTGGCAGGGAATGAGAATGGCACACTTGTGGGCGCCAATGGTGCGGTGGTCAACACCGGCAAGCAGTTCGCCATAGGCCCGGATGGCACCATTACTGTCACCTCTCCTGCCTCTAGCTCTGCCCCTGCCCCTGCCTCTAACCCCGGTCCCACTCCTGCTGACCCCAGTGGAACCAGGCTGACGTTCAACCCAGACAGCACCCTGTCATTTGGACCCAACTACACTCTCCTGGCAAACGGCACAGTCACTGACTCCACTGGCGCTACTGTCTCTCCCACTTTCAATCTGGATGGCTCCTTCACTGTCGGTGGCAACTACACTACCTACCCCAACGGCACTCTCACTGCCCCCGGCGTTGCCGTCAGCACCGCCGGCACGCTGGGGTACACAATAGGCAGCACAACAATGCTGGCCAATGGCACCGTGCTGGACGCGGCAGGAGCGCCAATTACGCCCACAGATAATGGTGATGGGTCATTCTCAGCGGGTGACATCACAGGGTATGAGAACGGCACTCTTGTGGGCACCAACGGGGCTGTGGTCAACACGGGCAAGCAGTTCACCATAGGCCACCATAGCACCATCACCGTCGGCGCTCCTGCCTCTGCCCCTGCGCCTGGCTCCCTCCCCGGCCCCGTTCCTTCCAGCGGCGGCAGCATGACGTTCAACCCGGATGGCAGCCTGTCGTTTGGCGCTGGCTACACTCGCTTCCCCAACGGCACGTTTGTGGACTCCACTGGAGTGCTTGTCTCCCCCACCAAGAACACAGACGGGTCTGTCTCTGTGGGCGGAGATTACACCTTCTACCCCAGCAACACCTTCACTGCACCTGGCCTCTCTTTCTCGGATACCGGCGGGCTCACCATTGGGGCGACGACGATTTTAATTAATGGCACGGTGCTGGATGCGTCAGGGACGCCGATTCAGCCAACGGTGAATTCGTACGGGGTGGCGGAGGCAGGAGATCTGACTATGTACAGGAACAGCACGATCACAGGGACGAACGGTGTGGTGGTGAACTTCTTCAGAGCGACAACTATCAGCCCTGATGGAACCATCACCTTTGTTGCTGTTGTTACTCCCAGCCCAAGCACCCCCCTCGCATCTCCCACTCCCCGTCCCCTCTTGCCTCACCGCCACCATCCAAGTCTGCTGGTATGTTGCTTCTGCACCTTCGCTCTGCTGTGGGTTTGGGACAACTATTGCCCTCGTTTTTTACCGCTGCAATTTCAGCCTGTTGCTTCCTTCTTTCCCTACTTTCTGTCCCTTCTTTCTTCCCACGCAATCACATGTCCTTGTCCCCGCCCTTGAGTGAGTCGCTTCCACAATTGGTTTGCTTTTGCTCTTATGTGACTCTTCATTCCTCCCTGCCCTCCCATTGTCAGGTTCTTTCGCTTCATCGGTCAGTGTCCTGGCCACCGCCATCATTGATTTCCTCAGCTCCTTGCACTTTGTGTATAGCAGTGTAACTTACATGGTACAGTGGTATGGTAATACAAAATCACAGTGACCGCCAGTGTGCGTCCATAGAAGTTGGGTTGGCTGTTCTATAGTGAGGGGCTGTTGAGATTCGTTCTTATAACCTAACAATGACTGGCTGGCTCTGCAATTGTGTGCATGTTGCTTGACAGGTTCCGTTCCAGCCAGCCATGCTGGTCCATGGCACTGCCGTTTAGGATGTGAGACATTTTTCTGAAATCTGTATGAAAACACTGCAATTCTTGTATAAAGCAAGCGAGCATATGTATGTATCTAGCTATCATTTTAGAAAGTGGTTACCTTGTCAAAGTACTCTCACTGTAAGGATTAAAAAATACATACTTTAGCACTCGTTACCGAGTACAACTCCGAGGGGGTAGCGTCAACACGATCGGCCTACATTCGCACACCCAAACCACTCCCGAGTCGCCCCAGCCCCGATCGCAACCTCCCCAGCAATTGGAATCACGTGATTTCATAAAGGAATGACGGCGCAATGTGAGTTTGAACGAACGGCACTATGGCAGCCACTATAGTCTTAGAACACAAATTAGGAAGAGTTACGAGTTAGGGATGCTTCCCAGCCTCTACAAGCCCCCAATAGCCGAGGTACAGTGATGGGGAACAGTACCACACTGTCCCCAACCAAGAAGGGTCTCGAAACTACCCTCCACAAGGGCCTACACCAAGAGAAATGTTACACTACACATTGTAATGTAACAATTCTCAATATCCTAAAGTTTACCCTTTTGGCGAGCTTCGAAATCACCTGAGTCTTGAAAGCAAGGCTCTGGTTCTTCATCATGAACTCATCCTTGAGTTCTTGATGGGTCTGCTGCACACACCTGCGACACGCCGAACGTTCGACACACGACAAAATAGAAACCGCGCACGAGACAAAAAACGACGACACGACACGCGACTAGCGATAACTCGCTATTGACTCGACACACACATTCAACATTATGACTCATCATTCACACACTATTATAAGCATGAAATATATACATCATGCCCTCATGCCATTCCATGCACACACAGAGCAGTTGCTGGGTGTATTTCACACCTCCAACGCGCGTGCGTTTAGCGGGTGCGCTGTTCACTGTCGAAGGAGTGCTCGGTTTGCGGTCGGAAGGCCCTTCATCACCATCAGAAAGGACCACGGCGGGGACTGGCTGGAAAGCGGACGGAGAGTTGGGAGGCTCGAAAGGGTATACTATGCCTGCTGTAGCTACTGGTGATTGGCTGATACAGGTATCGATTCATCGACTTCTGATACAGCTTCATGTCGAGAGTACCAGAACTGGAAAATCATTGTCCCTTGAAAACTGGCAGGTCCAGAAAGTCCATAGTAGTTTCTGAAACCACCCATGTGAGTCGGATTGAAGGATGAAATGAATCAAACCGTTGCTGTAAACATTCAAACTCCGCTCTCGTTTCCTCCCAGAGAATCGTCAATAAAACGCAGATGTAAAGCGGGAGTGAAATGAAGCGATGCGTAAAGTTGAATGTCCAGATAACTGAGAAATAGCACGGCGAAGCAAACGACCACCAAGGTACCCATGGCGGAGTGTTGGATGTGACGGAAAAAACGGCCGTTGAAAAAAGCGAAGTTGTTGAACATCACCCATCGAAGAAGACGAGTGATAACTGGCGCGAGAGAATGCCATTCTTTTTGTAAGAAATAGGCAACACCATCAATTCCATCCCAGGGTGGGATTGACGGGTACAGAGACTCAACGTAATAAGATGGTAGTAGTAGGTTAGAAGAAAAGGAGCGTTGCTTGAAGGACAAGAGTTTGAGAGTCTTTGACGTATGTCGACTGTTTAAGCACAAGCGGTCGTAGAATAGAGTCCAGCCAGCGCGACACATTAGTCGTAATCCAAGAGTGGCAAGCAACAATGGGCAACGACAGCTTTTTATGAATTTTCATCAGGATGTAGAATGCCGGCACTTTCCAGCCATTCTATGGTTGCTAAAAAAACGAGTCCCATATATTGGATTTAATAAGCGTGTCCCATTCCGAACGAATAGTATGTAGCTCGTGAAGAATATCACAGACCGGAACTGCAGAGTATTCCTGATAGAATTTGTTGTTTAGAATTTGTTTCAGATAGTGCTCCTGATAGTAATCTCTGCTCATAACGGTCAAGCCCAGATTCTTGCCTGCAGGTTTAAAGATGATGTTAGGATTGTTAAAAAGTCATCTTAAAGTCGGTAGCATGTTTTTCGATTTCCGTGTCAGAGAGGAGAAGTTCTCTCCAGTAACTTCTTTAATAGCTGCTTCTTAAAAAATCTCCAGCGCGGTTTCAACTCCTGGTGAGGCTGCCGGTGGGTCCCAGTTTTCTGGTTTAGGTAGCTTATACCCTGAGTAACTGGAAGAATCAGATCCATTAAAGAGAAACATAGGATGAACACTCCTAAAGAAAGAAGAAAGCTTGGCTTCCCACCTATCGACAGTGCGAATGACAGGAACAGGTATGAATTTCAGTCCCAGGGTTAAGAGATCAAGTTCAGGTTTGGAGAAGGTATGATTGTTGTAATTATGGAGTCCGCGGTTGGTGATTCGGCACTGCAGCTGATACTCCATCAGTCGTCTGAACAGTATCAGTGCGTAAGAGTGAACATCAGTCACTATTGCCGAGTCGTTTTTCCGTGGCCTCCTCCTCCCCCGTTTTTCAATGCAGATGCGTTATGATTACCAGGCTTGGAGCTGTTACGGTTACCATGCTTGGAGCTGTTGCGTACAGCCGTCTTAGAGTAAGAGCGGCCAGCTGTCTTCACATCGGTACGTTCAGCTTTATCGACTTTCTGCTTCTTGCTGTTGTTAGCAACACCTTTGCCATTGCTAGCAGCACCCTTGTTCTTATGACGGGAATCCTTAGTATTGCCGGTCTTAGAGGGCTTAGAAGCCTGTCGAGGCTTAGAGCCGGTAGCAGCAGCAACAGGTTTCTTGACATGATCGCCGAGTTTGTTAGTACAGGATTTAGACTTTCCAGAAACGGGAACCTTTTCCTTCTTGTTGCTGGATGTTTTAGCAGGAGACTTCACGGTCGTCGATTTCAGCACTTTCTCCACCTCCTGGCGAGCGATTTCACGAACAGTGGGCTCAACCGGCAGATTCTCAGCTTCGTCGACTGCAGTTTTTTTCTTAGCATCGAGGTCGTCCTTCTTCTGCTTCGGGTGTACTTCAGCCATGTTGGTTTCCAGGTAAAACAGCGACACAACATCCTTGAACTCGGCCAGCGGTCCCATCTTGAAATAGTCGAGGTTGTCAAAGATCTTCGGGTTCTTAAAACCGAGGTCGGATTTCGTGTTCAAGTTGATTAAGTTGTCGATGTGGAAACCCAACTAAATATAAATTGCTGACACTTCACTGAAGGCTTGGTCTGTAGCTTTCTTCTTCATGGAGATTAGAATATCTTGTGTATTTCGACAACAAGTCATCTTAGCCGCTGCAAGATCTTTGTAAGCTTTCTGATGAATGTCTTCGGAATTGCAGACAAAATTAAAAGACATGATACGGATAGAGTGAGGAATAATCCCTTCCTTCTTCTTCTCGACCATGAAATTGTACTGCTACAGCAGAGTGCGATATTTCACAAACTGCTTCTTGAAGTCGCTTATCGCTTGAGATTTCAAAGTAGTAAAATAGGCTGGAGTAGCCTCCTTTTCCAGAAAAGTAATGTTAAAGCACCAAGGAAATTAATGGAATCAGACATAATGTCGTCGCGAAGACCAGTGTTATCATGGATCCGAAAAACAACTTCCTGCTCCCGGATCATCGAAGTAGACTGATTAGCCATGGCGACAGGATTGATTCCAAGAACGTCGATCGACTTAGCAAGAGTAGCACCAGAGATTCAAGAGCTCTCCATTTGCAGTGTTGGGAAACTGAGGGATCTTGTGGGTTGTCCCACTGAAAGACCGGCCCTTTATCTGAACGAGGCTGCGAATTTTTTCGCGTAGCTCTCGGTGGTTTCCGGATGTTCGAAGCGCGGTCAACTTTGGTGTTAGTTGTAGTAGTAGTAGTATTGTTTGCATTGAATTTATAGCTGGATATCGCAGCAGTATCAACAGAAAGACCAATGGAGCCCAAAGTAGGAGGCATGGCGTAGCGTGGCAGCAACTGTGTTTAGCAAACAGTTGTTCAGTTAGGTTTTTAGGCTTGCTTGTAAAACCCAAAGAAGTTGGCGGTAACTAGTTTCGGCTCTTCGAGCCTTCCTCACACCACAGGTTCAAATGACGAGCAAGCTAGGCTAAATACCAACCCCTAGGCTCAATCGCGAGACATTCCTCCGCGCGGCCAGGGAAGGTGGGGGAAAACTAGATGAGAACAGTAGAAAAACATGTCTACAGTAACTAGCACATATGAGCTGAAATTGAGAAATTACCAACTCGTTTAGGTAAACTCCAAGCAAGAATTGCCCTGCGTGTAGAGAAAACACCGTGTGACATTATACCGAGTTGACTTTTGAGTCGACTCAAAGGGACAACACCTTGTCATTTGGACACGGCTACACTCTCTTAGCGAACGGCACTGTAACTGACTCCACTTGAGCTCCCGTC